TCTGTATCTCAGCAGAGCTCGTGACTGCCATCCTTTCCGTAAGGGAGAAGAACAAATTATTACCTTCCTTGGGGAGTTTGCCATCCTCTTCAGGCGGACGCCAGCCAGAGGGACAGCACTAGAGCTCCGAGCAGGCAATCGCAGGTCTCACGGAGGACTGGGCGAGCCAACATCACACCTGCACGTCTGCGGCTTCTTTGAAGTCGATTTAGCCAAGGAACAATTTGCAGCCCAATAATTAGCCCTGTTGTAATTAACCCATGCAAGGAAGCAAACTGAGGTTGCAGGGGTCTGACTGGCAGTTCCCTGCCACAACGTTCACTTAACACGAGGTATCCAGAAGTAATGAAGCAGCTCATTAACTCAGTGAGAGACAAAGTGCACTTAGATGTATTGGCACATCTGCATGGCAGCTTTTCTGGACAGATCATTTTATATCCCACCTCAATTTGGCTAAAATTCAAACTTGGCTCAGCACTTGGCACTATGCTTAAAAATACTGGCCACAACACCAGGCTAAGTGAAAAGAAAACATCGCCCCAGCCCGCCTGGATGACTTGGATGTGACCCTGGCTGTAGCTACATCACCTGCAAATACTTTTTCCCTCTCACACAGCCAACCAGCTCCTCAACCTGCTACAAGGAGCTGCACGGAAATATTTATATGCCTTAAGGAACTTCATCATCCTAATCACTCGCTGCTGGGGCTTGGGAGACACTAATCACCCCAGAGGAGAAACAGCTGCCTGGGAACAACCAGAAACAGCGAAGTCTGTAAACAGCTTCGCTCCTCTGTCCCCCTGCAGGGGTCATGTCTGCCTCAGCGTTAAGCAGTGGCAAACAGATCCATGGTCCACAACGGGGGAATTTTACCTCTGGGTGGGCAAATATCCCTCTGGGCATGGCTAGCGGTTCTCCTGGTCCACACGCAATGGTGCACGTGTCCTTTGGGCTTAACCCTGTCCCTGTAAAACTGGCTTTGGTTTTGTGTGTGTGCCGTGCACTCCCGGGGCCAAGACAGCAGCCTGGGTTCTTAGGGCTGTATTTTAATGCCACCTTTCATATGAGGATCTTGAAGCATCCATGAACTTCAGTGAATGCTTCCTAAATGAGGGCTGATCCTTTGGGCCCGGTGCAGGTGTCCCCTGTCCCTGAAGGCTCTGAGGGTGGATGTCAGGTGTGAAGCCCAGTGTGGCATTTAGGGAGAGCTGAGCTGGGGATGGAGGGCAGGAAGCCGCCCAGATCATCGCCACGTCTGTGATCGGTGTCAGGTTTTCAGCTGTTTTGGTCTGGCAGCTACAAACAGGACACAAAGAGCAATGACTTCTGGGTGAGCTGGCCCCTTGGGCTACTGGCTCTTCGAAAGAAAGCAACCCAAACTAGCTGAAATCTGCAGAGACTGGAGAGAAGGAGAAGCCCAGAAGATCGGATTAAGGAGCCTGGTGGCTTCTGCTGGCATTTTGGCTGCAGACAGATAGATGGCATGGCTGGAGATGCTCTTGGAAGGAGGAGACCCATGCTGGGGCAGGGACAGCCCTGAGGGACCGTGGGAGACCCAAGGTGGGGCAGAGGAGAGTGAGTAAGGACCAAGGAGCAGCAGAAGGAAACCACCCCACACTGATCCGGACCTCCTGCACCCCCGTCATCCCACCATAGGGGCAGGGAGGGCAGGACTGCAACGCCCGGGGACAACACGGGGAGCTGGGACGGGGATGGGGGAGACGTTCGCCCCTGTGGTGAACCCCGCTGTGTACAGTGTCGAAACCTAGCAGGTCCGTGGCCAGGTGCTCATTGCATTGTGTCTCACGAGGATCTAAATCCTTGCACATCCCGTCCACGTGCACGTGTTTCCGTGCGACTGCACACGGAAACTGCAGCACATGACGGGCCATGAGAATTAACCTGAGACCCGTGTGCGGGATCCACTTTAAATGAGCCCCGTCTCTCCTCCTGAGTCTTCCCAAGCTTAAGACTTGCGGCTTGTGAGAGGACTGTACATCTGTGCTAAAGACAGCAGAATTCCGGCTCATGGCTGCCTGAGGCAAGCGGCAAAGCCTGCCCGGCAGACTGAGGAGGGTGCTCAATCCACAGGTCAGCCTAGGCAGAGCTGGAAAATTTCCAGAGCGTTCGGCTTTGATGTCACTGCGCTGATAGTGAGCTGGAGGTAAATAACATTCTTGTTTGAGCTCCACGGGCTACACTTCTTCCCTTTTTGTGTGCTAAGGAAATGAGCTGATGGCCTGCAGGTCATCCAGAGAGCTGCTGGTGCTGCTGGACCGTTTAAAGTGGTGGGAGACAGAGGAGCCAAACCGCCTGGTGCTGGAAGGGGAGAGCTTTGGGGTGCTGGCTCTCGCTCCCAGGAGCGGGGGGTGCTGCCCGCCCCTCGGGCCGTGGCGCTGGCAGAGGCACAGACCAGCCCAGAGCCCCACGCCTGCTCCCAGGCTCTCGGCCGGACGCGCCGCGGGCCGTGACGCATCGCGTGGAGGAGGGTTGCTCGCGTTTGCCAGCGTGAGCTCGGAGGATGGTCTCGGGAAGGGGGAGGTTAAACCTCACCCCCCCGATAGCCCAGGCAGGGCACGGGCCGGGGGCTCGGGGGATCCGCTCCCAGGGCGGCGGGGAGGAGCACAAACACATGTGAGCACGGCGGGGTTTAACTCTCTTCTCCGTTCTGATTGTCCTCACGCGACTTGGATGCGATTTCTGTTGCCCGAGTTATTTATCGACGTGCTAAGCTGCCGTAGATCTGATTCATAGATCAGCACTGCAAACAGAGCACAAAAAAAGAACAAAGTCCATAATATTTCTACTGAATTAATGTATCCACTTGCTTTATTTTCTCCAAGTCTTAGAATGAGAAATGTGTTTTGCTGCATGGTTGGCATATTTATAAAGCTGGACTATTACAAAAGGAGATGCCGGTTCGCAGCGTCTAACGAATTTATGTGGCACAAGAACAAAGTCTGGCCTGCCTTGCTACTCCATCGGTAGCTGTTGCATCCCTGACCTGGCTTCTGCAATCTCGGCCCAGCAGGTGAGACACACCACATCCACCAGCTCACGCTGCAGGCGGTGGCTTATCGCCCCCATTCCCGTGAGGGTCACAGGCTCTTGCGGGGTCTCTGTTTGCACCCCCCAGGCTGTCCCCCGCAGTTCTGCTGACCAGAGCTCTAGGGAAGGATGTGAATTGGGGCGTTATGAAGCTTTTAATGAAACAGTTATACCCAAAGTAGTAGAGATGAGGGATGAGGGATTATGCACTGGTGAGGCCACACCTGGAGGGTTGTGTCCAGGTTTGGGCACCTCAACCCCAGAGAGATCTGGGGGGGCTGGAGCGAGGGCAGAGGAGGGCAACGGGGCTGGGGAAGGGCTGGAGAATCAATCCTGTGAGGAGCCAGGGAAGGGGCTGGGAGTGTTCAGTGTGAGGAGGAGGAGGCTGAGGGGAGCCCTCATCCCTCTCTGCAGCTCCTGACAGGACATTGCAGAGAGGCTGGGGCTGGGCTCTGCTCCCAGGGGATCAGGGACAGGACAAGAGGGAACGGCTGGAAACTGCCCCAGGGGAGGGTCAGGCTGGGCAGGAGGAGAAAATGTTTCCCAGCAAGAGTGGTCCGAGAGTGGAACAGGCTGCCCAGGGAGGGGGGAGTCCCCATCCCTGGGGGGTTTCAGGGCCGTTGGGATGAGCTGTGGGGGATGTGGGGTAGGGGAGAGCTTTGTGGAGTCGGGCTGAGGGTTGGACTCGCTGACCCCGAGGGGCTTTTCCAACCTGAATGACTCGGGGATTCTGTGAGAACTTCGCAAAGCCGAGTGATGATGAACTGGACAGGAAAGTTCAGTACAGATCCACTAAAACTGAGGTGCTCTGGCAAAACCCAGCCCTGGTGTTGCAGAGCCAACGTTGTGTTCTGGGCTGTCCAGCCCCACTCAGCAGTGGGCATCCTGGGGCTATGACTGATGACTCCTCGAAAGCATCGGCGGTACCATCACACCTTCACTCCAGACTCCCCGTTATCACCGCAGGTTTCACTCGGTGCCCTCAGCGAGGGGGGCTCAGGGTCGGCACGCAGCCATACCCCTTGGGGTACCCGCTCTGGTGGGGGGTCCCTCATGGGCCGCAGTCCCTTCAGGGGGAGAGCTCCTACCATGGAGCACCTCCTACCTTGCCTTTCCCCTTGATGTTTCTCACTCTTATTGTTCACTCCTTCTCTCTACCTGGTATTTTCTGCCCTTTCTTAAATATATTTTCACAGAAGCACCGCGGACTCCCCTGGCTGGCTCAGCTTTGGGGCATGATGGGTCTGGTCCAGCTGGAAATGTCGGTTCTGTCAGCGGGCAGTCCCGTTCCTCCCTCCTGGCCACCCCTGCAGCCCACCCCAACACCCAAACCTTACCAGCGACACCCAGTGCACTCCTCACAAATACCTTGAGCTGCCTGTTACAAATACTGGTTTGCTTTGTGCTGTGTGGGTAACGAGTTAAATTTTTCCTAATTCAGGCATTGAAGCTCTTTTTGCTAGAAATTCCTGCTTCCACAAAGTGGTATCTGTTCCTTCCAAACACATTTTTTTTCTAAATTATAGCTGGTAAATAAATGCAAGAAAAAGAAGACACGGTGAAAAAAATATTAGATGGAAGTGTTTTATTCTGTCTCACTGCTGTTCTTGGAAGTACTGGGATGTGCTGCAAGGAAAGGAACAAGTCCCAGGTAAATGTTAACTCCTGAAGGGCTCTGACTACATCCATAAAGCCATCAACCTCTGAGCTTGTGCAGCCTTTTATTACAGCACTAGTGCTTGTTGCACAAAGTATATTTGCTCGACAATTTGCAGTCATAAATTATTGTTATTTGTGTTGTGATAGTGACTGAGAGCCTGCCAAGGGCTCCGGCAGCACGCCGCATAGTCAGAGAAGAGGAGCACGTTCCCCATCCCCGGAGCTAAGCTGAGAAAATACAAGAAAAGTCAAGAGCTGGGTGCGGTTCAGTGGGCAGTCCCGTCACTGGAAATTTAAACTGAAATCAGGATCCTCCTCTGGATCTGCTTGGTCCTCACCCCGTAGATGATGGGGTTGAGCACAGCGGGCACCAGGATGTAGACGTTGCCCATGATGATATGGACCAGTGGCGCCAGGTCCTTCCCAAACCTGTGCACCACGGACAGCCCAATCAGGGGCACGTAGAAGACCAGGACCACGCAGATATGGGCAACGCAGGTGCTGAACACCTTCAGCCTCTCCTTCCACGCCGCCAGCCGCAAGACAGCCTTGAGGATGAGGACGTAGGAGAGGCAGATGAGGATGGCGTCCAGGCCCATGACCAGCAGGATGGCGGTGAGGCCGTACACCACGCTGGGGGTGGCGTTGGCACAGGCCAGGTTCATCACGTCCTGGTGCAGGCAGAAGGAGTGTGACAGCACCCGGGAGCTGCAGAAGGGAAGGGGCAGAGCAAGACTTGGTTCTGCCCCTCCTCTGGAGCCAGGCGGTGTTCTGACAGTCTTAGAATGTTAAGTGTGTTTGGTTTTTATACTGAAAATATGTTACTAGCACGAGAGTGGCACTGTAGCACCCCCAGAGCAGAGCTCTCACAGCGTGAAACGTGCCATCCAGACACAGAGTCACTGGGGCTGGGGTTGCCCAGGACCGTGTACACCTCAGTTTTGTGTATCTCCAGGGATGGAGGCTCCACAGCCTCTCCGGGCAACCTGCGCCAGTGTTTGGTTAACATCATCATAAAAAAAAAAAAGAAAAGAAAAGAAAAGAAAAGAAAAGAAAAGGTATTTGTTAGGTTTAAATTGAATTTCCTGGGTTTTCTAGTTTGTGCTCACCACCTCTTGTCCTTTTACTGGATACTACTAAGAACATGGATTTGTCTTCTTTAGCCCATCCCATCAGGTATTTACACACTTTGAGAAGACACATGCACAAGAAGAATCTCTTTGCCCAGGGAAATGTTCCTTCAACAGGGACAACGCCTCCCTTAAGGGGCTTGAGACCCAAAAACCCCGAGTTGTGTTGGTCACTAGTGATACGGTACTGACACACCCGTGGGCCCGCCAGCAGGTTGGTGTTGCCCTGTGGGTTATTCACCTTGGAACAACGGGGCTGAGTCTGTCACCAGGACCTTCACGGACTAGTTGTCCCCCTTGCTGTCCCCTCCCGAGCTGCTGCCTGGGGCACCGAGCTGGGTCCTCACCCCTGTGCCCTGGGGGGTGTCACTGATGTGGAGCCCGGACCCATCGCACAGGCCATGCCTGATATAGGAGGGGAGGGGAGAGGGGAAGGGAAGGGGAGGGGAGGGGA